GTGGCCTGCAAACATCTGGGGACATCTAGAAATGCCCCAGATGAGAAGTTGGTGGCCTGTAAACATCTGGTGATGTCTAGAAATGCCCCAGATGAGAACTTGGTGGCCTGCAAACATCTTGAAACGCCCCGATCGAGGCATCACCGAGTCACACGTGGAGGAAACCACATCCCACATCCCGTTGGCCAAGACCCAAAGCCCACGTTGGAGCTGGGAAAGAGCCCAGGAGACGATGGTCTCCTGCAGGAGCCCCCCAGCCCCGGGAAGGGGCACTCACCATCCCATCTCCGCACTTGGTCCCCGTCATCACCAGGCCGGGGTCGGACAGGTCGTCCTCGTCGTCCCTGGCCGTGTACATGTAGGTGCCCCTGCACTTCACCTCGCGCCCGTTGAAGCGGATCGTGGTGTCGATGGACACCGTGTTGGTCCCCTGGGGCTTCTTGGCCGAGCTCTGGCACTGGATCTTCCCACACATGGCGTCCCTGGGAGTGGGGAAGAGCCGAGGTGAGGGCGGGAAGTCCCTCGGTCTCCCTGCCCGTCACCCCGCGCCCGCGGGATCGTCTCCCTCGGGATTCGTGGCCACGCCGGGTTGTGGCTCGGCAGGTTCGGGAAGGACTTGGATAAATCATGGACAGCACAGAGGAATGGTGGAAGGAACGGTCGGGGGGGCCTCTAATATCCCTGGAATGCTCTCAGGCACATGGTGGGATTTTTGGGGTGTCCTGTGCAGGGCCAGGAGTTGGACTCAATGGAGTTGGGCTCGATGGAGTTGGTCCCTCCCAACTCAGGATATTCCATGATTCCATAAACTGGGAATACTGGGGAGCACACGCTCCCTAAACAGCACCCCTCTGATGCTGTCTTTGATCTTCCCACCAGGCTGCATGATGCGACAACAGGATCATTTGGGTCAGAAAAGAACCTTGAGACCATCAAGTCCAACCTCCCGGCACTGATGGAAACAGAGTCCAAGAAGGATGTGGTGGCTTCCTCAGGTCCCAAAAACGGGCCTGACCCCAGAGGTTGGGGTAGGAGCCTCCCAGCCCCCTCCCAGGGGTGGGTACTGGGGGGCTGTGGGTGCAGGAGGAGGAGACGGGGCACCCAGGGGTGCCAGGGCTGCACCCACCTCTTGTCACACTTGACGTAGCGCCCTTGGCTGTCCTTGCCGCAGTTGCCGTAGGTGTTCCCAGCCATGTTCACGTCCTGGAAACAGGCATCTGGAGCTGGCCAGGCACCTGCAGGGAGGCAGGAAAGGTCCCACTGTGACAGGGGATAGCAGGAAGTAGGGAGAAGTACTGAAAATGGGACCAGCATCTGGGTGTTCATGGAGAAAACACCATGGAAAAGTCTCCTGAAGAACTGCTGCTGAGGGTGCTGGACCAGGGACAGCACAAGAGGGATGAAAGTCCCTTTTTTCTGAGGTCTTGCAGAGGATTTTGATCATGGAATCATAGAGTGGTTTGGGTTGAAAGGGACCAAAGCCCATCCAACTCCAACCCCCTGCCATGGGCAGGGACACCTTCCACTAGCCCACATTGATCCAACCTGGTCTTGGACACTTCCAGGGATCCAGGAGCAGCCACAGCTTCTCTGGGCAATCTGTGCCAATGCCCCTCCACCCAATACCCTCCAACCCCCCAGGCAGATGCCATGGAGAGGGGTGGGAAGGAGGCCAGGCTGGAGCTGGTGGGACTCACCTGGTCCCCAGAGCTGGACACACTGCTGGTGGTGGGTCATGCACATCCCATTGTTGCAATAGGCCTCTCCATAGGCACAGGAGGAGCCATCCAGCAGGTACACGTTGGCTGGGCAGTAGGGAGAGGCACCAGTGCAATATTCCGGGAGGTCACAGGATCCCGCTGCTTCCCGGCACATCGTCCCGGCCGCCTTCAGCTGCCACGGGAGGAGAGACAAACTGAGACAAGGGGACAAGGTGGGATTGGCTGCCGCCTCCTGGCACAGCTTGGGGACATGAACCAGCTGGAATGTCCCCTGTGGGACCATATGGGGTTGTCAAGGTATGGAGATACATTCCTGGGCTGGACCACAGCCAGAAAGCTGCCAGAGGAGATTCTCCTGGAGAGGGAGTTTTGGGAAGTTCGTGGAGTGACAGGTCAAGGGGGAATGGTTTCCCATGGACAGAGGGCAGGGTTAGATGGGATATTGGGAAGGAAGGAATTACTGGCTGTGGGGGTGGTGAGGCCCTGGCACAGGTTGCCCAGAGAAGCTGTGGCTGCCCCTGGATCCCTGGAAGTGTCCAAGGCCAGGCTGGATGAGGCTTGGAGCAACCTGGGTTAGTGGAAGGTGTCCCTGCCCATGGCAGGGGGTGGCACTGGACGATTTTTAAGGTCCCTTCCAACCCCAACCATTCCATGATTCTCCTGCAGACACAAGTTTACACATAACCCTCATCTGGCACGGCAGAGTTCGACCTTTTGGATGTGCAGCACATGATTCCTGAGGGAACGGCGGGGCCGTATGTCTGTGCTCATCCCATGGGCATGAAGGGGACATGTTGGGGGCACGGTGGGGGCACGGTGGGGGTCTCACCTTGCAGTTGTGGCAGCAATCCCCGTGGGCACACTGGGCCCCCTCCTTCAGCGTGCAGTTGTGAGCGTTGCAGCAGGGGTTGGTGCACTCCTGCGCGGGGGGAGAAGACAACACCGTGGTCGTGGTTCCACCACCATGATCCCATCCCTTCCCTATCCCTTCCCCCAGCCCCTTTTCCACCCCTCACATCACTGCCCTTCTCATTTTGCCATCAGGGAAACTGAGGCACGGAGGGGATGAGGAAGAACTGAACAATCAGGAGGGAAGTCGAGGAAGAAGCCAGGACCAGGTTAAACGGATTTAGGAAGGTGGGACTGGGATGGAGTCCCTGAGGTGACCAGCAAACCCTCTTCCCTTGGAAACACCCCTCTCCACGTGGTCTTTTTTGGCCTCTGCAGGGAAGGGATGCAGCAGCAGCTCCTACCTCCACCTCCCCACAGTCACAGTCCTCTCCTTCCTCCCGAAAGCCGTTGCCACATTTCCGTCCCACCACCAGGTCCTTGGTGTCGGGCAGGTTGAAGAGGCACATCCCACCTCCCTTCTGGAAGTAGTTTTCCAGCTGCCTCTTGCTGCAGGAGCTGAACACGCGAGGGAAGGGGTGTCTGTGCACAGGACAGAGAGGGAGGGATGGAAAACAGGGTCGTCAGGACCAGGAGAAGGTGGAAAACCACAGTCAGAACTGGGAATCAAGCACATTTGGCATGAATCCTTCCTGCAGGGATGGGAAATGGGGTGATCAGAATCAGGAGAAGGTGGGAAACCAGTCAGAGCTGGAAATCGAGCACATTTGGCATGAACTCTTCCAGGATGGATGGGAAATGGGGTGATCAGGAGCAGGAGAAGGTGGAAAACCAGTCAGAACTGGGAATTAAGCACATTTGGTATGAACCCTTCCAGGAGGGATGGGAAACAAGGTCATCAGGACCAGGAGAAGGTGGAAAACCACAGTCAAAACTGGGAATCGAGCACATTTGGCACAAACCCCTCCAGCAGGGATGGGAAATGGGGTGATCAGGACCAGGAGAAGGTGGAAAACCAGTCAGAACTGGGAATTAAGCACATTTAGCATGAACCCTTCCAGGGGAGATGGGAAATGGGGAAATCAGGACCAGGAGAAGGTGGAAAACCACAGTCAGAACTGGGAATTAAGCACATTTGGCACAGAGCCTTCGAGGAGAGACGGGAAATGGGGAGATCAGGACCAGGAGAAGGTGGAAAACCAGTCAGAGCCAGGAATTAAGGACATGGACAAACTGGCACAAAGCCTTCCAAGGGCAGAAGCCACGAGTCCATGAACTTCTCCCACCCCAAGTGGCACAGGGTGAGCACCAGAACAACAACCAGGGGACACTCCCTGAACCCCAAAATCCTCAGAAATGGGATGGGGGGGACAGGCAAAGCCACCCCTGGAGCATCAACCCTCCAGCATGAAACCTCTTGGAGGTGGAGACCCTCATGGTGAGACCCTCAACCCCTGCAGGTACTGTGAGCTCCACGCTGTAGCAGATGCCACCTCTGTGCCCCTGCACCTGGGACACCACAAACCCCCCCAAAAAAACCACAGGGCAGGTCCCCACATCTGCTCAGGATGTCAGTTAAAAAGATGTTATCACGGAACCATCGAGGGGAAGTAACCACGTGGGGCTCTTCAAACACCTCGGAGGTTGTGACGGATGAAAATCATTTAAAAAATTAAAGAAATATGGGAAAGGATCACAAAAAAAATCCCAAAGAACAGCAGAAAAAAATAATCAGAGACTACAACTGCCCAACCAGCCTGAGGAGCTGGAGAGAAACTGGTTTTCTAGAGGAACTCGGAGCTTGGTCCTTCTGTGTTTTTGCAAAGTTTGTGGGGGTTTTTGTGTGATTTACGAAGAATCATTTCCTCCTTCTTACTAATGGTTTCATTTCCTCCCAACCCTGAAAAAGCAGTTTTATTTCTCGTCAGGACACCTCGTTTTTTGAGATGACACAGAAGGGTGTTTTGTAAAAGCGTTTTTGAAACCTGAGGGAAAACTGGGGAAGTTCTAAAGTCCTGCAAGTTCTGGGGGGTGAGAAAGTCAATATACCCAGTATTGATCAATGTGCAAATAGGGACAGGTTGAAGACAGTCAAAAATGTCCTTTTCCCCACCAAAATCCACCCAGGGAGAAGTTAAATCCCATGGGATCAGTGTCGGGGTCTGACAGCCCTGAGAGCCCCACCCTGAAACAACACTGGGGGATTTCCATGATCTTAATTGATTGGAAGAGCAGGTGGGATCGAATAACAGGGAATAAAACTGCCTTTCTGCAGTGCAGGGATATCTGGGATGAGTGTGTTGTCAGGAGATGGAAAACCCAAAAAGAGAAGGATTTTGGAGCAGGAAGTGGCACCAACCACATGGATCTGATGCAGCTTTGGCCTGAATTAAAGGGTAAAAGCAAAGAAAACAAGCCCTGGATGGATTCCAAAGAGCAGGAAAACTAATGCCTGACACCCTGGACATCCTGCATCCGGATTTAGGAATGTTGGGATGAGGGATGTGAGCTCATCCCACCCCAGCCCCGCAGTGCCACGATTCCCCATGGGAATGACGGGGGACTGGGCACCCCTTGGCCCTCTGGTCTTACAAAAAAGGGTAATTCCTTTGAGCTGAGGTGTGGGATAGAGCAGGAAAATGCCTTGGATTCCTGGGATGTGTGTGCCAGAAAACATCCATCTGCTTCCATCCTATTTTGGGATGGAGCTGCTACTCCTCTGCTGCCCTTTGGAGACCACCAGCCCTGCTCACACCTGGAACCTGGGATGTGCTCGCTCCAGGGAATCAGAGAACAGTCACACAGTGGTTTGGGTTGGGAGGGACCTTAAAGACCATCCAGTGTCACTCCCTGCCATGGGCAGGGACACCTTCCACTAGCCCACGTTGCTCCAAGCCTCATCCAACCTGGCCTTGGACACTTCCAGGGATCCAGGGGCAGCCACAGCTTCTCTGACCAACCTGGGCCAGGGCCTCCCCACCCTCACAGACAACAATTCCTTCCCAATATCCCATCTAACCCTGCCCATCTGTGAACGTGAAGCGATTCCCTCTTGTCCCCTTATCCTGTCCCTCCATCCCCTGTCCCAAGTCCCTCTCCAGCTCTCCTGGAGCCCCTTTAGGCCCTGCAAGGGGCTCTCAGCTCTCCCTGGAGCCTTCCCTTCTCCAGTTGAACCCCCCCAGCTCTCCCAGCCCGGAGTTGCCGAGATTCCCTCCCCACTCCCATCCCACCCGGCTGCAAACAGCCCCCACACCTTACTGAGGGGGCTTTGGGGACACATCCCACCCCCAGCAGCTCTTACCCAGTGGCTGCTGCCATGACACAGCCCCCTTGCTCCGGGGTGGCCTCCACACAGCAGCCCTGGGTGTCGTGGACCATCCCAAAGTTGTGGCCGATCTCGTGGGCCATGGTGGCGGCGGCTCCGATGGGCTGCTCCGCGTGGTCCTGCACGGGGAAGGGGGACAGGTCAGCCAGGACAAAGGGACAGGGGTGATCCCACAGCTGAGAATGGGGCTGGGCTGCTGGAGGGACCACAACATCCCCGAGATTGCAGCTGGATCCCGTAGAATGAACACAGAGAGGGTTGGAGGAAGGTTCACAGCACAAGTGGGGTTTGGTCTCCTGGAAGTCCCACATGGGACTGTTGGGAAGATCTTTTGCCTTCTCAAGGCACATCCCAAAAACCAGAAGCCTGGGTGGCCCCCACCACCCTGCCCAGGGATCACAGGTCACCATAGCCACCACCATCACAGCCAGGGCCACCATGAGGAGGAGGATCAGAGTCACCTGGGCAGAGGTGACCCCACAACACCACGGAGCACAAGCAGGGGCTCCTCAACACATGCAGCAGCATGGCAGGAGATCCCAGCGCTGCTGGAATCTGGGGGTGCACATTGGGTGGGAGACCTTTAAACCAGCCCCTTCTCACCCTTCTTAGTACCTGGCCAACATCTGAGAGGGATAAGGAGCCATCAACATCCTCACTCGCTCCCAGGCTGCATCCCAAGACCAACCCCGGGTGGTTGATCCTCCCAGTCCATGGAGAGCTCCTCCAACTGGCAATGAGGTTCTCCAGCCGGGAGAAGCAGCGGGGACCCCTCACAACCTCCTTACCACGCTGACACCTCCGGAGTTATCCATGCTGCACATCCCCTCCAGCGGGGCCATTCCGATGGTCGTCCCCCCGAACGTCTTCCCTCTGCCCAGGAAGGAGAACGGAGCGGGAATTCAGCCCTCCTGGGGTGGTTTGGGCACCCCTGTGCCAGCTGGGCCCGGGGTCAGCAGGGCAGGGGGGGTGCTCACGTGAGGAGCTGGGCGTTGTCGTGCTTCTTGCGGGACCTCAGCGACTTCTTCCACTGCAGGAAGGCCCAGAGCGTGGCGTTGGCGTCGCTGGTGACGGCGCAGTGGTCCCGCTCCGTCCACACCTCCAGCCCGATCAGGGCCACCTTGATGTTCAGCAGCCTGTAAAACTGCAGGGGAGGCAGGGATGGAAGGGATGGAGGCGGGATTCGCCGGGAATCCTCCATCCCTACCGATGGGTCTCGGTACGTCCCTCCAGCCGGGTGGCTCCGGGACACATTTCTCCCAAATCCACCCACAAGCACGGGCTCTGCGGGCATGGGTGTGGGCACAGGAGCCAGGCAGAGTGGTGTGATGCCCACCATGGGCTGGTAACACCTTAGTGTATCCCTCCTGTGCCAAGGAAGCCGGCATTGATGCCAGAACCCTGGGTGGTCCCCACCACCCTGCCCAGGGATCACAGGTCACCATGGCCACCACCACCACGACCAGGGCCACCATGAGGAGGAGGATCAGAGTCACCTGGGCAGAGATGACCCCACAACACCACGGAGCACAAGCAGGGGCTCCCCAACACGAGGGGCAGCAGCATGGCAGGAGATCCCAGCGCTGCTGGAATCTGGGGGTGCACATGAGGTGGGAGACCTTTAAACCAGCCCCTTCTCACCCTCCTTAGTACCTGGCCAACATCCGAGAGGGACAAGGAGCCACCAATATCCTCACTCACTCCCAGGCTGCATCCCCTCACTGCTGCAGCCCAGCCAAAAAAGCGATTCCCACCACGTTCATCCCAACCCCCAAATTCCTTGATGGGCTGTCCAGCCCTGGCTCAGCTGCCCAGGGCAGTGGTGGAGTCCCCACCCCTGGAGGGATTTAAAAGCCGTGTGGATGTGGCACTTGGGGACGTGGTTTGATGGCAGCCTTGGCAGGGCTGGGAATGGTTGGACTTGACAGACTTGGAGAATGATTCTGTAATTCCGTGATTCCTTGCCCTAGTGACATGAGGACTGTCCCTGAGGGCCACCACCAAGATCAGGTGCTCTCACAGGCACTGGGAGTGACAGGGGTGGCCAGAAGGGCCCGGCAGGTCCCTCACCTTGTCCACGTAGTTGGCGATCTCCACGATGCGCTGCTTGGTCTGGCCCAGGTTGAGGTTCTGGTTCCTGTACTGCAGAAATGTGGGGACGGGGAAAGGTCACCAGAGGAAAATCAGGAAGGGACACAATGAGGGGACCTGGTTTTTTTTGGCAGGGGACCAGGTTTCTGTCCCCCCCTCAGCGCTCACCAGTGTGTGATCGGCAACGATGAAGAGCTCCATGTACTTCATGGTCCTCCAGGCATCTCTCCTCACCTGCAGGACACACACACAAGGCTCAGAGGAGCCAAGGAAGGGCCAGCCCATGGCTCTGGGCATCTCCCACCTCACACACCTCAGAGCTGCTCAGAAGGGACAGCTGGGAGGGGAAGCTGAGGCGTGAGGTGACAAGGAACATTTGGGTGTCTCCAAACGACCTCATGTCCCGCAGGAGGTCCCAGCACCGATGCCCAACCCACACATCCTCTCTCTGGGGATCTCCTGCCCAAACTCAGACCAGGTAAATCACCCACACAGACCCCTCGTGTCCCACCTGCCTGCACAGCCCTGCCCAGGTGCCAAGGGGATGGGCACAGGGCATCAGGAGAGGTGCAGAGAGCCCCGCTCCCAACCCTCTGCCCCTTCCCAAACAGACCCCAGGGTGGATTTACCCGTTGGTGCCCCGGCTGGAAGAGCTGGGCAATGTCGGCCACGGTGCTCCCAAAATCATCCCCGTGCCCACAGGTGCCAGCTGGGATGGGCAGGTGCTCTGCTCTGTGGATGACGTGGTGCCCCGGCTCGGGGGGGCCCAGGGGGCTCAGGTAGTAGCTGGTGTTGCTGCTCAGCACTATGAGACCCCTGGAAGAGGAGAACAGCCCCTGGTGGCTCCTGCGGTGCTTCCACTGTGGTTCCCTCAGTCCCTGAGGCCCCACAAGCTCGTGGCACCTCAGCTTGGTCCGCATCCAGGGTGGGAGTAGGGATCAGGGATGGGGGTCTCTGTCCAAACAGCCCCAGGAGCGAACACACCCTTGGCATCAAAACTATCAGACCACGTGAACAAAGCTCAGTTCTGAGGGTCTTGCCTCCTCCAGGGATGAACTTCCTTGAAGGAAGCCAATCCTGCCAGAAAATTGTTCTCTCTCCCCTCACCTGCCTGCTCCTGGGAGAAGGGGGGAGAAGGATGGGATGGGAGCAATGGAAAAATCAGCCCCGTGAACCACCTGGAGCCGAGATGGAGGAGCATCGGTGCTGCTCCAGGGGCGGATCCCTGCAGGGAGGAAGGAGCAGTGTGTCCATCCCACCCTCTGCCAGCCCCACAACGCCCCCAACCCTGCGTTTTTCCATACCTTATTCCCGAGCAGGTGCTGAGGACAACCCAGGAGCCGCCGTAGCCGCGGACGTGGCCGTGGTAGTGACAGTGCTCCTGGAGAGAGGGGATGGAGACTCTCAGCAGGGCCGGGCAGCAACAAAGCCCGCGTGCTGATCCCAAAAAAACCCACCAAAACCCGTTTCTCATTTCTCGGCCAGGGGAGCCGCGTCCCTCCACGCCGGGAAGAGCCGGGAGGGAGGCGGGAGCCGGAGTTCAGCCCGGGACACAGCCGGGCCCGGCGCGCTGGAAGGGTGACAAAAGGCCGGTGGGGGGACATCGGGGAGGGCCTGGTGCTGCCTGTGTTTACGTCCCGAGGTGCTGAACCGCGGCCAAGAGATACAGGAGCCGCGTGCGGCCGCATTCCTGCTGCCACAGGCGCCGGGGATGCTGCCAGGGAAAACGCAGCGCCCCGCCCCGCCCCGGGCCGGCTGTGGCTTCATCCCAAAAAACCAGAGGTGACCTGAACCCCCCCCCCCCCCCCCCAGCACCCACCGTGTGGTTGGGGGTCACGGTCACGGGCTGTCCGTCCTCGCTGTAGTGAGTCTCCGTGTATCCCGGAGCCAGCAGCCTGCGGGGAGAGGAAGGATGAGCAGCCTGGAGCTGCTCCGGGTGTCCCGGCGCGGGGACACAGCGAATCACACGGAGTCGTTCAGCTCGGAAAAGACCTCTGAGACCGTCCAGTCCAACCTGGGACCCGACCCCACCTTGTCACCCAGCCCGTGGCACTGATGCCACGTGCAGCGTGTCCTTAAACACCTCCAGGGAAGTGACTCCACCACCTCCCCGGGCAGCCCATTCCAGTGTCTGATCGCTCTCTCCGGGAAGAATTTCTTCCCGACGTCCAACCTAAACCTCCCCTGGCACAACTTGAGGCTGTGCCCTCTTGTCCTACTGCTGGTTCCTGGGAGCAGAGCCCGACACCCCCCCAGGCTCCCCCCTCCTGTCAGGGAACTGCAGAACCCCCTGAGCCTCCTTTTCTCCAGGCTGATCCCCCCAGGGTGCTCCAGACCCTTCCCCAGCTCCATTCCCTGGACCTGCTCCAGCCCCTAAACATCCTTCCTAAACTGAGGGAGAGGCCCAGAACTGGGCATAGCACTCGAGGTGTGGCCTCACCAGTGCCCAGTCCAGGGGCAGAATCACTTCCCTGGGCAGCCCATTCCAATTCCTGTCGTGTCCCGGCCCGGCTGAGCCATCCCTGTCTCCCCTGAGACCCCCCTCGCAGGGCTTCAGGCGCAGCCCCCAACCCGTGGAGCCGGGAATCACAGGCCAAGGGACAGGAAAGGGCTGCCCCCAAAACCACTTTGGGATCCTGGGCTGGAATGGGGGGAGTCCAGTGCCCACCCCGGGCACCTCAAGGGCTACCCGGTCACCTCCAACAGCCGGGCAGGGTGGCGGCTTCTCCACAGGGAACGAATCCTCCTTGGGATAAAGCCCCCCCTGGAAAAAGCTTCCTGCTGGGAGAAGAGAGGATCGACCCCGTGCTCAGGGACCGGCTGAGGATGGGGGAGGTTTGGGGTCTCCAGCCCCAGGAATGTCACTTTGTGTCACTCCCCGCACAGCCGGGGTGGTAATCCCGAGGAAACACCCCGGGAACAGCGAGGGGGGCTTCCCAAAAATCCCCGGAGGATTGTGAGAGAGCTCAGGCTGCTTTTAGGAAGCTGCACCCCCGCCCTGTCTTCACCCCACGGGCCTCGGCTCCCCCCTGCAGCTGCCGGACATCTCCCCCCC